AATACATATATATATATATATATATATATATATATATATATGTTGCAGGTGATAGTTCTCGACGAACAATACTGGCAGTTAATTCATGTGCCTGCACCAGAACCGTCCGAAACAGCCGAAGATTACGTAACACGGTTTGTCAATGCTTTTAGTGATATTTTAAAATTTTTAAAGTTCAAAATTTAAAATTGGTTAGATTGGGGGAAAAACTTTTTACTGATCCACTTTACTGGAATGAAATTTAATGGAACCATTTTTTCGGAACATTTTTTAATCTAAATCTAGAATTGAATAAGTTTATCGCTTACTGCAAACAACTTTTCATTTAATTTTGGGGTAATGGAACTAGTAAATGTGACACAATTGGGACAAACTCGACGATCGGGTATTGCTACCCTCTTAGGAGTGACGACAATTGTAGAAAGTGCTGCAGAAACAATTATGCTCGAAACAAAAAGAAGTGCGGTGATTTTAAAATTAAATTGCCAAATTATTTCGGAAACAACAAAATTCTAAACTATTAGGAAGAACTTGCCAGTGGAAATTTATTTTTAGCTTCTCAAAACTTGTCAACTTCAAACTATCATCAAATTGATTTACTTATTCCTTTATACTTTGAAGATTTTATTTCAATTTCTTCTGTTGATTTATTTTAGGCTTATCGGCAAATGATTTACAAGATGAATGCGAACGGATGTATGTCACATTATACAGATTATTACGGAAATATTTAAAACTTCGAGAAATACTTAAAGAATTGAATTCAAATTACCATTCTTCACGCTTTTTACCCATCGTTCCACGATATAGTTTGTTAAAATCTATGATAAAAAACGTAATCAGAGAACCAACATTTGCTGAGATATATCATGAGCCAGATATATAATTAGTAGTTGTTGTTTCTCGAGTATTTGTGAATTTCCTTCTTTTTTTTCCTCCATTTCTGAAGTTCGTTTAAAATTTGATAACAAATTCGTGTTGCTCATTGCAAAAATAATAAGGATATTAAGCAAATAGGTTGAAAATTATAAAACGAACTATTAATTTTCCCTTAGGTATTCCGGAAACATAAATAGATATATAGCTATGCTTCATAATTTTGCTCATAAATCGAAAAAAAAGGGAAATAATTCCATTTATATGCTTTAAAACATGTGAGTAGTCAAAAGTTCAACAGTTAGACATTCCACTTAAAATGTAATTTCAATTTCGATTAATTTAAACATACTTAAAAGTTTATGAATTATCTAATGAAATATTGTATACCGCTGGGAAAAGGCTCTTACTATGCTTAAATCTGAATTCTTCCATTTCATCATTAGAGATGAGAAAAAATCATTGATCTCTACATGAATAACTGCTATTTATAAGCCTTAATAAAGATTTAAAGTATAATTAGTTAATAAAGAGGTACAACAAAAAAAAAAACGCTATACCAATAATACCAATCTTCATTTAATTTATTTTATCTTTCATCGCTTTCCAATTTGGTATCAAAAAAAAAGTGGAGAAATACCAAACGTTTGAATTACTCGATAGCAATATAATTAAGTGCTATCCCATAAAAGACATTAAATTAGTCTGAAAAATAGCACAAACAAATTTCCCAGAAATCAAATGGTCATAGATTATCTTTGAAATTAAATTTTTTGCAAATATTAACGTCAAATTCTTTATAATTTTATCATCTTAAGTATATTCAGTTAATCTTTGCTACTTGTCTTGGAAAAAACAAAATATACTTTAGGTTAACTGATGATGTGTACCAAAAGTTTCAGCAAGGTATTGATTGAACCATTTAGGCTATTATCATTCATTCATTTCATCGAAATATTTTTCCATGCTGTGAAAACTATTAATGAATTCGTTGATAAGGCGATTCATTCCTACCGCATCTTTGAAAACGATTTTCAAATTTATTCTAAACAATTCTGTTATCCAATTTTGCCCAATCAACTAACATTCGATATGATACTGAAGGAAAATTTGAATTATTGCAGCTACACGAAAAGCTTTGTTTGCTCTTTGATAGAATAAAATTGTTAACTTTAAACTTCAGAAAATTAATTAGTAATTCTATTTTAAATATAATATGATTTCCTTCCGTAAAGTTGCCGAAGGAAGTGCTTAAACAATAAATTTCAAATTCAGCTTTTTTTTTTCTGGATTAAACTTTTTGGATAGTTTGAAAAAGGCACTACCTTCTGGAATAACTTGGTACCACAATTATCAGTTCATCAGATTTTTTTTTTCTGTCAAACTTTTCACGATTCTTATCATGAATTTGTCACAAAATACCAAAAAAAAATCAATTTTATTGTTTTATTGTTGTATTCTAGGTAGCAATATGTTTTTTGTAATGGAACGACTATAATCGTACATATATTCTTGATTCGGAAAAAATTAGATAATATTCTGAAAATTATGAGGCAATTCTTCACTTCGTTAGAAACTTGTTTTTTCAATTCCTAAAATTGCAACACTGATCTAAAAGATCAAAATTTTACCATTCGATGAAAAAGTTAAAGAGAGATTATTGGGATTTCATTCATATGGCGCTTCCCACATCATCATGTTTTTAAATGTTTCTGTAGTTGACCTCATACAATCTTATCAGAAAAATTAATGCAACTCCGCAGATTTTATCACTTCATAACCTAATCAACGATGTTTCAAATGTCGTTAATGAATGATTTTCTTTCAATGTTAATGAGTTGTGGGTTATTTTTTTTTTCGTAAATATCCGTTTCCCGAAAAACGATCACATCATGAATAATATTATCCCATTTGATTTCTACGTCTTTTTCTGCTTTAATCTTGCAAAACAAAGTTTCACTTTTATAAAAAGAACGACAAATTTTTTGTAATAAGTATTTCTAACTTTCAGAATTTTAGGTTTTGTTCGAAAAATTTTCAAATTTTTTTCAAAATCACACGGACGGTTTTTTTTTCTTTTGTTAATTGAAAGAAAAAACTTATCACAACTTACATGGTAATTAATGGTGCTATGGTTTAAAGTTACTGCTGAAATTAATAATGATATTAGCCAATCATTTAAAATAATAACCTTTGTTATCAGTCGATATCACTGCTATTTTCACTTCTCAAAAGGATGAATCAACAACAAATGCGCGAGTGGAAAAATTGGCTTCTGCTGCATCATTTTTATCAATTCGCTAATATTATTATTCCTTAATTTCAATAAAAATTTAATTCCTCAAAATATATGAAGCAACAATACATTTATCATTCAGTATAATAATAATAATGTAAAAGAGCTCTTTTCCATTTAATATTTTTTTTTATAAAATTCAAAAATTTTCACAAATTCAAATTTTTGCTTCATTCTTTGCATTTCCATGAAATGTACCAATTTCTCTCATACAACAAAATTAATCAAATAATGCTCAAAAATTCCTAAAATTCAATTCAACCTTTAATGTATTCATTTTCGAGTATTGCTCTCTTGGGGATTTATATTTCAAAACATGAAAACTATTGAATGGTAGTTTTTTCCTTTTTTTTTCCCCCCCCCCTTCTCCCCACCCCTCCCCCTCCTTTTATTTCCATGAAGATTGATGATATCAGATTGATGAAATCATTGATATTGATATCAAAAGGCATTTCATTACATTAAAACAAAAAATAATTTGTGTTATTTCTTTGCCATCATTCATTTCAACAACATCTCCATGAATTTTTATGCATTCTGTTAACATCATTATACTTACAAAATGTATTTATTATGGAAGTATAGAGCATAAAATTCTTATTTTTATCATATTATTAGAATTTGGTTAAAAAATTCTATCCAAGTAATAACAATTAAAATGAAAGAGGAATAATCAAAATGGTGAAAAACTGGATAACTCATTTCGAATTTCAATTTTTTTCAAAAAATTTCCTCGAAATATGGTTAACTTCAGCAAATGCCTATGTATAATATATATTATATATATATATATTATACATATTAACCTAACTATTCCAACTGCTTTTTAAGTAAAAAAAAATTCGCCAAATTTAGTTCATCAAATTTGCCAGGTTAAATAAAGTTCTGAAAGATAACAAAATCAGGTAAAGATATATAGACATATATTGATTGATCAAATGAAACAAATCCACGTTGGTCACACATCAAAGATGTGATATTGATCGATTTGGGATCAAAGAACGATATTCAGAATACTGGAGTATAAAAAAGAGTACAAAGGGATAGAGTATAACAAAAGTTTTTTACGATTTAAAAGAATTTCATAATTTGCAATGTTTACCGATTAAATTTTTTTGCTCACCTACTTCCTTAGCTTAATATTCTTCCCTATCACTACCACTACTACTCTTCGAGATGTTTTATTCGGACTAGCTCATGGATTGTCATGTCCATAGACTCAATGCAGGCCATCAGCTCTCCTGATCAAAACATTTGATTAACTGAACATGGGAGAGTTAACCACTTAATTAATTGAAATAGCTGAAATTATCACTTCTGGGAAAATCCAAAAAAAAGAAATAAAAAGAAGAGTAATCACTGGTATCGCTCCTGATGCATCCTGGAAATATCGGAAGCCAAAACAATTGTTAAAAAAAAACCCGACGATTTAATACAGAAAAATAGATTACTGCAAAGGATTGTAATGATGTAAGTGTTCTTTCTTGTTTTTTTTCATAAAAAAAAATGAAAAAAAGAATTTGAAAAATCGAAAGGTTTAATTTCAACTTGGGAAAACTTGAATATATTTAGACAAAGTAATTGGATATCATTGAGATTAATTAATCGTTTTCGAAATTTCTACAGGCTTTTCTGAACAAATTTAGTTTAATTATTTCATGTAAGATGTTTTTTTCTAACTTCATAATACTTGGTATATATAATCTAAGATCAGAATAAGACTCCAAAATATTGAAAGATATAAACACGCCTAAATAAAAATACAGAGAAAAAAACAAAAAATAAATAAATAACTTTTGAAGAATGAATTAAACTGCAGAATTTATGTAAACCCGTTCCAGATAATTTTATCGTCTAAAATTTCCACCGCATATTTTATTCAATCGTAACTTTGAAATTTAAAATTTGATAACTTCACTGTTTTTCAAATTTTAATTGTTTGATATTGCGCAAAAATGAAAGAGCTACAATAAATCAGCAACATATCCGTTCTGTTGAGAAATATCCATATTTCTCTCTCTTCAATGAATAATTTGTTTGGGAAATGGATGTGTAATGAAATTTTTCAAATGAACGATTAAATAATTTGATGATTATTGTCATTCTCTTTTCATATTTAATTAATATCAGAAATTGAAATTTAATTAATATCAGAAAATTTCTTGTCTTATCGATTTTGAATAATAAAATTTGTTTAAATTTATTTTAACTTGAAATGTAAGCAATTAAGAGATGGAAGAGTAAGAATGGGAATATTTTGCTATTTCCAATTATTTAAAAACTTAACGTTTTTTCTTCCTTTTTTTTCGAAAATAAGCTGATCAATTTATCACACTCCCAACTTACTTAAATCTATTCATTATTAGGTTGCTATAGTGATACTTAAAGCATTTCATCCTTCTTTTCTCCCTTCCCAAATCCCTTTTAGCAACGGACCATACCTCTTAGTTTGATAAAATCTTACCTCACTTTGTTTTTCTTTCCTTTTCAATCTTGCATCCTTTTTTCTAATTTGCTTATTAGCTCAAAAAACTTGATTTAAAAACACCATTTTTTGGCAACTTTTCAAACTTCGCACATATTACACGTGAAGAAGTAAAAAACTTTTGTTCATACAAATCATAATATTGATTACACTAATTTTGTCACTAATTACATTTACCCTTTTTAATTTCATTTTTTTTTTTGCAGTAAAAATTCCAAACTTGAAATTCAAAAAGAAACAAAAAATCTCAAAACATTAGTGTTTTCTTACTTTTATTCTAGTATACCAGGAAATAAGCAAAACCAATGAAGTTTTATGACTTAATTTTGAATAATTCGCTTAAAGAAAAAGAATATATTCAAAGTATTAAAAAAATAAACCTTTTATTCTATTTTCAGGATCAATGTCTTATTTTTTGCTAATATTCCTTATTTTTTATCAATTACAGGTCAGTTAACCTGTATTTTCAACCTGAACTTACTGCACGATGTTATCAATATTTTTTTTTGCGATTTTCATTCAAAAATTAGGATTTTTAAAAGACCCTAAGTCTTAAATTGTTACTAACCTTAAACTCATATTTTACTTTTTTTCTATGGTAAAATGCGCTTATTCATTTCAGAAAAACAATGCAGGAGAAGAAATATTATCAACACCTTCTGCAGCTGAAGCTGGAGCTGGTTCTAAATTTTACTTTAATACACTTAACATTTGCTCTATAGTAATGGTTCCTAACCAGTGGTCTGGCTAACCACTAGTGGTCCGCGAGCATTAAAATCTGGACTGCGAGGGCTATTAAAAATTATGCTCCTTCTTTTTAACATTATAATGTTATTCCAAGTTTAATACCACGTCAAAAGTTTTGGTTAAAATATTTTTTAAATTAACAGAATTTGGTGGTCCATGCTACAAATAAAAGAGCTAAAGTGGAAGAAGGTTGGAACCAGTACTATATAGGAATTATTTTATATATATAAAGATCGAACTTACCAAATATCCGACTCCTAAAATTTCCGTTTTTAGGATTTAATCTCTCAAAGTGTATGTATAACTGCACCTGTATGTTTCAAGTTTAGTTTCTTTTTCATTAATCTTGAACCTATTATGGTGCAAGACAGGGTCGAAGAGTAATTTTCGAGTATTCCCCTCATTGCAGTCTTGTATTTAATCAAAAAACTTTTTACTCTAGTTCGAAAAGTACTATCTGGCACACTTCACCCTTATTCTTCCTTCGTCTTGCATTCTATCCCTTTTTCTAATTTCTAATTTTAACTCTAGTCGGGAAGTTTGTTGTCATAGAATCAAATGTCAACTTTTATATTATCATGTACTCAATTAGAACTCATAAATTTATTTTGTTCCTTTTTCGACAATTTCCGGAATGAAAAACAAAAGCAAAAAAAGAAAAAAGAAACCGATGGTGGTAAAAACTTTTCGAATCCTTCTACTGAACTTTAATAGACTTATGGCTTTTTGTATGCCAGATGAGAAATCACCTTGACAAGCATAACCAAAAAGAAAACAAAACAAGATAAAACCTGACAAGTACCGGTTTTTTTTCTACTGACTTAAGCATTATTATTTACAGTTTTTTAAACATGTTTGAAAATTTTCCATATTTGATTCTGATGCAAAACATTCTAATTAGCATCAAATAATGATTTCAATACTTTTGAATTCTTTTCAATAGATCTCTTGCAGTTCGATCTGTCATGTTTCTGGTGTAGATCATAATGACGTTAATTTAACGGGTAAATTCCAATTATATCCAATGAAATTTTCGATAGGAATTATCAATTATTATTTCAGGAGTAACTGGATCAGGCATATTAACAACTACAAAAGGAACTCAATGTTTAATACCACTGACAGCGTTTCCAGGATGGCTTGCATTTACGTCTATCTTATACGAAGTTATCCGAAGTTTCTGATGTTTACAAATAACTTGGATAATCATGTCTGTTATCAGCATAAGAAATTTCTACCTCATTTCCAGACAACTCATTTTTAGGACTTGTATGAAATTACAAAATTTTCTTGCAAATTCTGAAAATTCATGTTAAGCTTGTTATTGATTGAAGCCAAAAAAAAAAAGTATGACGACAATTTAAACGAATTTACTCCGACTTACTTTGGCATAATTTGTAAATTTATGCGATGAGAGCGCAATAGACCGAATGACTGTATAGAGATAAATTTACAAGCAGCTATAAATAGATAGCAATGAAGAAATTATATGACAGATGCTTACACATGCATCATACCTTTTAATGGTTGTGCGAAAGTATGTCCAGCAAAACTGTGCACCATTCTTCCGGAATTGGTTTATGATGCTATCTTTCGAACCGTTCTGCATGATTCATTCACCTTTGAGCATATCGATGGCTCAAACTACCGGATGTATCCAATAGATAATGTATTCATGGTCTGCTTTAAGTTTCCCAAACATTAACTACTTTTGCTTCCCCTAAATCCTACGCCATGATAGGATTGAGTTTTGCGAGAGGGAAAGAATTTGATCTGATTTGGAATTTAAATTCTTCATTTCTCATATGCTCAATGCTTTATCTGACATCATGATAAGGTTTTATGTCGAAGGCATTGCAAATTACTTTATCGAGCGATTTAAATAGTTTCAAATAAGTTAAGTTTTTTTTTTGTTCGCATCGTTTTTCTTACTGGCTACATGTTGTTGAGATAAATTTAAACTAGAAATCATTTTGTACTTCAATAAAAATACAGTCTTGTTTGTATTTATATACATAAATCAAATGATATTTGTCTTTCTAAAGGAGAAAATTTTCGAACCAGTTCGACTAGTCTGAAATGAACAAGAAAATATTTAAATACTGATTTTTTTTAGTAAGTCCAAATATTCTGTTCGTTAGAAATTCGAGTATTCTTGTTAACGATGCAGAAAATCTAATCCGTTTTCTTCGTGTTTCAAAGTCCAGTTTTTCTTTTTTTTTCACAATGAAATAATGGAAATGCGGATGTATCCAGATATGGATGGAGCATCTTTCAGTTTTCAAAATTTTGAGGACAGATTTTCCAAAAACACGAAAAAAATGAAATTGCTGAATAACTTCACATGGTTTAATGAATAAGCAAAAAATAAGATAAAAACACAAATAAACACGTAAACAAAAAATAAACAGTAATTCATAAATTTATTATAATGCACAAAGTAAAACGCTGGACCGAATATTTTCCTCTTAGTATATTATAAAACATGTTCAAACTGACGAGTGACATGGTTTAGTGAAAAAAACAGAAAACAAACAAACAAACATTGCTTGTTTACAAAGAAGAAACAACTCATAAACTCATTCAAATACAAAAAGTAAAACGTTGAAACGAATTATTTCTTCATTAGTATATTATAAAGTAAACTGATAACATTAAAGTTGATAAATTTTTGGTATCACTATACATGCAGTACAAAAGATGATTTATTATAAAAACAAATTTCGAAATCACAACGGATATGAAAGCACTAATTTAAACAGTAAATAAGCTAATTTACTTTGATTTATAATTGCTTAACTGATATCTGGACTTTCCCATCGTAACTATTTATTTGAAAACGATTGGAATGAATTTTCCAATCCGGAATAATTACCTTATTTACTATTTATTTGATAACAAAACACAAACCTTTACATCGAACAACAAGTATCTATGGCAATTTTTTAAAAAAGATTGCTTTTCAATAAACAACATAAAATAAACAAATTAAAATAATGGATTCAATTACTTTTTTTTGAATATACCTAAGCAATCGATTTAAATTTTGGAAATGATAAATTCGAAATTTTTGATGCCAAAATGAAACATGAAGTATTGAACGTACAAAATCACAAACAAATTATTCAAATGTTAGTACAAAAGATGAATGCTTGATATGAAAACGAAAACAGGAATGTTTATAATTCAGCCGGAATGTATTCGTGATTTCATATCGTGCGCAAATTTGAAAAATATCATCCCCCCCCTCCCCCCTCCCCCCCCCCCTCCCCCCTCCTCACTAGCGTCGTCCAGCGTCCTCATCGATTCCTACAATATTTTGCACTCTAACGCAATACGCGTTGCGGAGTGGCATTACGAATTGAAACACGTTATTCTGCGGCTGTGGTCAGTTGAGGGTGTGGGGCGGTTACGTCAGTCTGTTCTTTCTGTGTTCCTTTGTTGGTGTTTTTGTATTTCCACAGTCTTGTCCGGAAATCCGGGTAGCGGAACTTTGTACATACAATTTTTCTAAGCTGCTTTTGTTGGGTAATAGTTAATATCTTTGCTTCGTAAGGTTGTATGCTTTTTTTCTTCCTCTCTGTTAATGGTTTCAATCATAATCTGTTAATTATGATTCCGGAGATTTCAGGAGGACTTTCATTCTGCCGTTTATACATGTATATTGCAGCAGGGTTTTATTAAATCTATAAATTGTGGTATTTCTTTCTTAAAGGGGAGTAACAATACGGACGGTAAACTGGGCATTTTGGCTGGGAGTGCTTACCCGTAATTCCATCCGAATATTACATCTCTTTCTTTTTCCGTTTTTTTCCTGTTTTTTCTTGAAATTTCTTGTGACTTTTTATCAGTTTTATTTTTTGAAATTTAAACTACATTATCTGTTTATTCAGACTTTTTCTTCTGATTTTTTCTTTTCCTTTGTCTTCCTCTCCCTCATAAAATCATGGAGGTATATATCTTGTCGTTTATATGTTGCAAAAGGAAATATTTAGTTTGTTTATTTTTAGTGCAAAGATGCGTGATAGCAGTGAGCTTGAAGAGTTGTCATCCGGAGGGAGAATATGCAATACAGCAATAACATCGATGTCAACAATTGGAGCACCCAATGCTGCTGCTGCTGCTGCTGCTGCTGCTGCTGTTTGTCAGCATCAGACACTCAAAGCGGGTCAATCAAACACTGAGTAAGTTCCAAGTTTGTTTTATTTTTGATTTTATTTTCAATGTATTTATTTATTTTATGTTGTTTGTTTATTTGCTCGTTTATTTATTTTATTATTATTGTGGTTAATAATATCACTATTACTGCTGTCATTTTTATCATTATTCCTTTTATTATCATTACTATTACTACTGTTATTATTACTCTTACTGTTATTATTACTACTACTGTTATTACTATCACTTAACAGTAATTATCACTATTACTGTTATCATTGTCATTACTATTACTGTTACTATCATTATCACTACCACTATTATTACTATTACTGTTATTATTATTGCTATTGCTATTATTATTATTGTCACTACCATTATTGTCACTATTATTACTATTATTATCACTACTATTGTTATTTATTATCAATATTATTACTATTACTATTATTGTCATTATTATTACTATTATTATTATTACTATTATTATTATTACTGTGATTATTATCATTATTATTATCATTATTATTATTATTATTGTCATTATTATTATTATTATTATTATTATTATTATTATTATTATTATTATTATTATTATTATTATTATTATTATTATTATTATTATTATT